TCCTGTTATTTAAAAAAATTTCTCAATTACATTTGACATACAATATTATATTAGTTTCAGGTGTACAATGTAGTGATTAGACATTTATATAACTTACAAAGTGATTATGCTGATAAGTCTAGTACCAATCTGACATCATACATATTTGTTGCAATGTTATTGATTATATTCCCTATGCTGTACTTTACATCCCTGTGATTATTTTAATTATTGACAATTTGTATTTCTTAATCCCTTTTGACTTTTTCACGCATCCCCTCAGTCCGTCTCCTATCATTCAACCACCAATTTGTTCTCTGTGTCTGTGACTTTGTTTTTGTATTGTTTATGTCTTTTGTTTTTGTTTTTAGATTTCATATATACCTGAAATAATATGGTATTTGTCCTGCTTTGTATGACTAATTTCACTTAGAATAATAGCTTCTAGGTCTATTTATGTTGTCTCAAGTGGCAGGATTTCATTCTTTTTTTATGGCCAAGTAATATTCCATTGTATATATGCGCCATATCTTTATCCACTCGTCTATCGATAGACACTTAGGCTGCTTCCATATTTTAGCTCTTGTAAATAATGCTGCAATGAACATAGGGTTGCATTAATATCTTTTCAAGTTAGTGTTTTGTATTTCTTCAGATAAATAACAAGAAGTGGGATTGCTGGGTCATATGGAAGTTCTATTTGTAATTTTTTGAGGAAACTCCTGTTTTCCATAGTGGTTGCACCAATCTGCATTCCCACCAGCAGTGCATGAGGGTTCCCTTTTCTCTATATCCTCATCAAAACTTGTTGTTTGTTAATTTATTGATAATAGGTATTCTATTGATAATAGGTATTATGACAGTTGTGAGGTGATATCTCACTGATTTTAATTTGCATTTCTCTGGTTAGTGACATTGAGCATATTTTCATATGCATTGGCCACCTCTATGTCTTCTTTGAAGAAGTGTCTATTCAGGTCCTCTGCCCACTTTTTAATTGGTTTGGGTTTTTTGGTGTTGAGTTGTATGAGTTTGTTATAAATTTTGAATATTAACCCCTTATCAGATGTGTCATTGGCAAATACATTCTCCCATTCAGTAAGTAGTATTTTTGTTTTGTTGATAGTTTTGTTTGCTGTGCAAAAACTTTTTAGTTTGATGTAGTCCCATTTGTTTATCTTTTGTTTTCTTTCCCTTGCCTGAGGCAATATATCAGAAAAAATATTGCTAATAGAAATATTCGAGATCTTACTGCCTGTGTTTTCTTCTAGGAGTTGTATGGTTTTGAGTTTTATATTTAAATCATAAATCCACTTTGAATTTATTGTTTTATATGGTGTGTAATTTTATTTGGTAATTTTAATTGATGAATTAATATTATTGTATATTTATTCTTGGTGAGAAAAAGCAATGCTTTCAAGAAAAAGATTGATATCTTTGCATTAATTTTTTTTCTATTTAAACATTGCTATAAACTATGTTCAAAGAAAAATGACAGACTTGGGAATATATTTGTAACATACACAGCAAGCAGAAGGTTATTTAAGCTCTTAAAATGGATTAGGAAAATAATTAAATGTCCCAATAGCAAAATTGGCAAAGAATAAGAACAGCTGAGTTGCAAAGGAAGGTATACAAAGTGCCAGTAGATGTGTGAATAGATATTCAGCCTCACTTGTAATCAAAGAAATGCCAGAAAATGAAAGAAAGAAAAACCCATAGTTGTTAAAGGTATAGGGAAATGGCCACTCCCAGACATTGTTTGGTGGAAGTTTAAATCTCTACAGACCCCATGAGATATAATTTGGAATATGTATCAATATTGTAACTGTATATCCTCTAATCCAGCAATTCTACCTATGAAAATTGATTTCCAAGAAAAATTTGGGTACATGTGCAAAGATATACATATGAAGGTGCCTGTTACAATAGTGAAAAATGAGAACCAACATAAATATTTATCAATAGTTATAAGCAAATGATTAAATATCCACAACAGTAGAATTCTGTGGTAGGTATTACCACCCTCCCCCTTTTCAGTAAAATACCCCTTACATTATCTTCAGTTTCCCATCTTAATCATCTTTCAAGCGTACAGTTCAGTGGCCTAAACTCCATTCATATTGTTTTGCAGCCGTCACTGCCGTCCATCTCCAGAACTCTTCATCCTGTAAAACCGAGTCTCTCTGCAAGTTAAACAATAACTCCCTATTTGCGGCTCCTGGCAACCACTGTTCTACTTTCTATCTCTATAATTTGACTCTTATAGGTACCTCATATAAGTAGAATCATACAATATTTGTCTTTTGTGACTGGCTTATTTAATTTAGTGTAATATCCTCAAGGTTCATCATTGTAGCATGTGTCAGAATTTCAATCCTTTTTAAGGCTGAAAAATATTGGTAGGTACTTTTTTTAAAATTTAATTTTTGAGTAGGTAGTACATTCATTTCAAATTCAAGAGGAAGTTAGGAGGCAAGATAGGAAGTGACTGCTAATGGGTACTGGATTTCGCTTAGGGGTGATGAAAGTGTTCTAGAATTAGATAGTAGGGATCGATGTACAACTTTTCATATGTTGAAAACCACTGAGTTGTACACTTTAAATAGGTGGACTCTATGGTATATGAATTATATATCTCAGTAAAGCTATTTTAAAAAATTTTCAATGTCAATCATACCTCAGTTAAAAAAATTTCAAGAGGAATAAAATAAATATAGTACAGTCTTTTATAATTTGTCCTTCAACCATTCCAGTTTTTCTTCTTCTTCTCCTTCTCTTCCTCCTCCTCCTCCTCCTTCTTTTTCTTCTCCTCCTCCTCCTCCTCCTTCCTCCTCCTCCTCCTTCCTCCTCCTTCCTCCTCTTCCCCCTCCTCCTTTTCTGCCTCCTTCTTCTTACAAAATAACCATTAGTTTCTTGTGTACTTTCCAGATATAACTTTCCAGATATATTTTAATTTCTTATAAATATCTTTTCCCCCAGTTATAATAAATAGTAATTATTTATTTTTCCCCTCCTTTTTTTTCTTTTTTTTTCTTTTTTAACACAGAGTGGTAGCAAATTGAACACAGTGTTTTGCACCTAAGCAGGAATCTCTGAAGACTATTTTTCTTATTTTAAAAGTTTTTTTTTTTTTTTAAATTACAAAAGGTTTATATGCTTACTATAGGAGATTTAGACAGTACAAAAAGATATGAAAAAAATGTGAAAGTTACCCATACCCAGAGATAGTCATTGGTAATTGTTTATATCCTTTTAGACTTTTCTCTTCACATATGTAGTCTTTTAAAAATTAGAATTGAGATCATTCTGTACTTGCTATTATATTGTCTGCTTTCTTATACTTATATTGTGACCATAGTTTTTATTAGTAAATATAAATCTACATTGTTACTTTTTATTGATGTAGAGTGTTGAATTGTGTGGACATTCCTCATTTACTTGTCACCTACTGATATCCACTTAGGTTTGTTTTTAATTTTGTGACTATCATAAACAACAATGAGGGTCTCTGTACATACATCTCGTACGCTTGGCAAATCATTTCTTTGAGATTCTTACTATAACTGCTTTTTTGCAGTTGGCCAAAATTATTCAGTGAGGTATGTTTTAAAATATACACCACAAAGATTTCCATGATATTATTAACTCTGAAGATATGATACAGGTATTTATAGCCTCATTTTAAATATGAAGAATATGAAACCCAGAAGATGGCAATGTGTCCCAAATTACATTGGTAATTAGTGTGAGAACTGGAACTAAAACTCATCTCTTCTGATCGTGGGTTAATATTCTTTTCACTGTGGCCTCGATACCTTAAATACAAAGAGTGATCTTTTATTATTGCTTCTTCATTTCTAAACATAAGATTGTTGATGTAACAACTTTTATTTATTTATTTTAATTAAAAAAAAAAAGCCTTTATTGATTTCAGAGAGAGGAAAGGAGAGGAAGAGGGAGAGATAGAAACATCAATGATGAGAGAGTCATTGATCTGCTGCCTCCTGCACGCCTCCTACTGGGGGTTGAGCCCCAACCTAGGCATGTGCCCTGACTGGGAATAGAACCTGCGATCTCCTAGATGAACTGCCGAGCCACACTGGCCGGGTGATAAAACAACTTTTAGATTCCTTCTATAATGTGCTGGAATTTTTTCATTGAGATTTAAGGTTCATATACCTTCATTGGGGGCATAGGCTAAAGATGTGCCCTCTCAAACATTTTAGTAGTTTATTTGCATCTATACGTTCCTTTAATTACTCACCTATATTGTCTTCCCTGTATAAAAAGCTCACATAGTCAAGTTTTGTTTTTGTCTTTTTTAGCTTCAAATTATTGCCCTTGGATAGTACTAGTTTCAGTGGACTGGGAGAATTACTTTGTTTTGAATCTAAGTTCTGTCACTGTGTGATCTTGGCCAGATTATTTAAATCTCTGTAAGCCTAGTGTCATCATCAGTAAAATTGAAATAATAGTATATGTCTCCTAGTGAGGATAAAATGAATTAACGCAAAAAGTGCTTGACACAATCTGGGATGTAGAAACTAAATAAATGCTAGTAGTTATTGTTTAATGTGTAAATTTAATGGTAAATTATTAGAAGTCATTTTGTGTTTTGATATCCTGTTGTTTTGGGGGTTTTTTTGGTGAAATTTTTTGTATGATATGTTTGTATCCTGTAAATTTCCCATGTCTTTTTCCTCCCTTCCCCTCAGTTCTATATAGTAATACCTTCAATTATTTTGAACAGTGTCTTTATTATGTCATGGCTTATGCAAAGTGAGGAGCTGCTATACTTGTTTCCTTTTGGGAATAAACATAAATTAAATTACTGATATTCTACAGATTATCTCAATCATTTTTTAAGACAATGTAATATGGAATAATGTGGATCCTGATTGGCTAAATGCAGGGTTCTGAGAGTCCTGATAGTTATTTTCTGATTCCCTAATCTGCTCTGTTTTTGCTGCCTGAGGAGGAAAGCTGATTTGAGGTTTTCTTTTTTGTCTTGGTTCTAGCACATGCAAATGACAATTCAGGCTCTCCAGGATGAATTACGGATCCAAAGGGACCTGAACCAGCTGTTTCAGCAAGATAGTAGCAGTAGGACTGGTGAACCTTGTGTGGCAGAGCTGACGGAGGAGAATTTCCAGAGACTACATGCTGAACATGAAAGACAGGCCAAAGAGCTGTTTCTCCTTCGGAAGACTCTGGAGGAAATGGAACTGCGTATTGAGACTCAGAAGCAAACCCTGAATGCTCGGGATGAATCCATCAAGAAGCTTCTGGAGATGTTGCAAAGCAAAGGACTTTCTGCTAAGGCTACTGAAGAAGATCATGAGAGAACAAGACGACTGGCAGAGGCAGAGATGCACGTCCACCACCTAGAAAGCCTTTTGGAGCAGAAGGAAAAAGAAAACAATATGTTGAGAGAGGTGAGTGTCCATTTTTTCAGTTGTTACAACTTACTGTCCTTTTATCATGATTAGTCAGCATCTTGGCCTAGATAAATTTATATGCTCTACTGAGCTAGTGGAAGGGAATTTTTTCTTTGGTATTTAAGTGGTTCACTGTTTTCTATTCTGATTTGCTCTCTTGTACAAGATGATATTAACTGGTATATATATTGGCTTGATAACTTTCTGGATCTTTCTTTTCCCCTCCTGGTTTCTATAGACTCATTTTGTTTCTAGAGAGTCACAGAATTTTCTTTATTTGTTACTCATCTTTTGATTTGTTCAGAGGAGCAACAAAACCAGAATCAGAGTAGCTAACTGTTGCTCAATTTTAAAATATTAATAAGAGAAAGTAAACGGTAACTTCAGTTTAGGTGTGTTCATAAAGTCCTTGGCAGCAGTAATGGATGTTTGCCTTGTGGTTTCCATGGAAACTGTTGCCTTGCTGTAAAATATATGTGATAAAAATCATTTGCTGCCAAGGAGGCATAGTGAGAAAGAATGATATATAGGCACACTGTCACTTATTTTTTAGAGAGTAAACTCAGAGTTCAGCTGACCACTGTGACTATTGATAATTTTTCACTTTTCTAGATAATGCTTCATTTTAAGAAAGCATAAATAAAAAATTCTTCTTACACTGAATTAAAGAAATTGACAGCTATAATTCTCTACATGTGGTCAGAGACCTCACATAACTTTCAGATTTGGATAGGGGAAAAAAACAACTTAGAATTGTGTTAGTGCCAGTGTGAATAATTCCTTTTTAAATGAAATGTGAGGAAGGCTGTTGAAAAAAAAGGGAATATTTCCAAAACAACAAAATAGCAACTTTTAAAATAATACTTTTAAATTTATAGTTTGTTCCACAATTTCTCCTTTTGCCAAAAATCTGAAATATTTAGTGAGGACATTTTTATTTTTGAAAGAGAAATTCATTGTTTCTTAAAATCAATTTTATTATAGAGTAAATCCATTGTAGTTTATTATAGTAAAATTAGAAAATAGATTAGCAAAAAGTTTAAATCCAAGGTATAATTACCTAGTGCTAACTGTCAATTTTCATTTTGTGTATGCAGCTATAAATAATGTAATGTCACCTGCTTTTCTTAATAATTTGTCTGGACTGTCTTTCTTTGTCAGTACGTGTAGAGTTTTGTAATTTCAGATGCATTTATAATGTTTCATTGCATTTATTTGAATATCTCTTACTGTTGAATATTTAGACCACTATTAATTTTTCAGTATTATAAAATTGTGTTGCACTAAATATCCTTAATCATATATCCCTGTACATTAATTTTTTAGGATAATTTCCTATAAATAAATTTATTCACGGAGTATGTACATTTTTGAAACATTATCTTGTCTTTTAGAGTGATTGGACCAGTTGATCCTCTCAACAACATACACTATATTCTTATGATTAATCTGTAGCAATGTATATGTTATGTTCTTCAAATTACCACATCATACTGTTATAGAAAATTTTCTGTAAATTCCTGTTATAGACACATCCTGAGTTTCAGTTTACTTCAAAGACTATATTTTAATGAGGTAATCCAGAACCTGGCCATAGGACATTGTTAGAGAAGTTGTAATAATCTCAAACATCATGCAACATGAAAACTGTACCAGCATCATGATGGACTTTGAATATTACATTTTTACTGCTTCTCTTCTGATTATTTCAACTTACATCTATTCAATTTTGAGTTTTGGGGTTAATAAATAGTAAATTGCTAAGTATTGTGAAAAGCCCCCATGTATTCTGGCAGAACAATCAGAATTTTGGTAAATTTGAAAAAGTGGTAGAAAATCCATGAATTTACCACTAATTTTCAAATAACAGGCTCTACAAATATCAAGTTCCACTTATGTACATAATGTGGAAAGAAATATGGGCCTTGTTGGGGAAATCCAAGATGACAGAGGAGTATGTGGAAGCTACTCTTGCCTCCTCCCAGGACAAAACTGGAGTTACAACTAAAATTATGGAAAAATCATCCTGAGTAATCAATTGAAGACTACTGAAGAGAAGTCTGATAATGAAGGATTTACAGAAGAAGCCACACTGAGACTGAATCTGGGACAGACTAAGCTATTTGGCTCTAGAACAGGGGCCATTTTTCCCTCACATGCCTAACTGGAGCAGAGCCCTCCTTTCACTAGGGTAAATCTCGGTCTGTTTGAACCTGATAAACTCTGTTTGCCTCACCCTAATGACTCCAAGAAACCCTGCCCTAACACAAAGGTGTTCAAGCACACAGTGGGTGGAAAGTAGACTTCGTATACCAGGGGGCATTTGCTCAGTGGCCTCAGACCCAGCACTGGCACCAAGTTTGAACCTATGCCAGTCTGGTGAACACCACTCGCCCCTGCCAGGTGACTCACTAAGAATCTACTTAACAAAATTTGGTACAGCCAGAGGTTCTTTCAGTGACTGAGCCTATGAGGTAGCCAGTAGACAGAGGCAGCAGAAGCGGATTTAGGGTACCTTGGGACTTTGCTGACCTGTTCCCAGGTCTGGTGCTTGTAAAAGCTGACCTTGGTGAGCATCTTGGTCCTTCCTCCATGTACCCAGGCCCAGCAGAGGCAGCCGCAAACTATCTATTGCTTATGGTTACAGACTGGTTGCCAAGGGCCAGTCACAGGCAGTGTCTGAGTTTGGCCTGTGCCAGAGTCCCTCCCAAGAGGCCCTGAAACCAACACACTCAGTGGCCAGCTTTAGACAACATCAGAACAGGATTCAATTAGCTTCACAAGCAGCATATCCAAAGGGAGATCTTGGCAGTCACCAAACTCTGCTGAACGAATTCCACTTCGTGTGGTCAGCACCTGCATAGCAGCTCACATGCTGTGGTTGGTGTTGAGCATCACAGTCAGCCCGCCTGAGGGTCGATTGCACATAGGAATAGGCCAATAGCAATCAAGACTCAGTTACAACAGGCAAGCCCACATAAACCACACAGGGGCATTCCTTGGAGCACCGAGTTCAGGTGATCAAGGAGACTGCATTACTGGACCCCACAAGGACACCTACTACATAAGGCCACCCCATGAAGATACAGAGTCATAGCTGATCTGTCTAATACATAGAAATAACACAAAGAGGAAGCCAAAATGAGGGAGACAAAGAAACATGCCCCAAATGAAAGAACAGGGGAAATCTCCAGAAAAAGAACTGAATGAAATGGAGGTAATCAGCTTATCAAATACAGAGTTCTAAGTAATGGTTATAAGGATGCTCAACAGCATGAAAAAGGACATAGAAACCATGAAAAACAACCAATCAGAAATGAAGAATGACATAGCTGAAATAAAGAATACACTGGAAGGAATTAACAGTAGGTTAAAAGAAGCACAGGATCAAATCAGCAAAGAAGACAAGGTAGAAAAAAAAAATCACTCAGAGCAGCAAAAAAAAAAATAATACTTAAAAAGCACGAGGACAGGGAGATTAAAGATGGCGGCAGCCTAAGTGGAAGCCACACTGACACTCTCCTGGGACCCACCTGTAATTACAACTAAAATACAGAAAAACGATCCTGAATAATCAGCTGCAACAGAAGATGAGCTGGAGAGCACCCTCATAACCAAGGAGGAAAAGTGGAGACCGCATAGAGGCTGGTAGGAAGTGCAAAGGCATAAGAGGGCTGGCCAGGTTCCCACAGGCAGCAGCTGAAGGTCCAGAGGGATATCTGTGCTGTGGGAGGTTCCTACTGAGGACCCTAGGCTGGGCTTCCCAGCCAAGAGCACCAGAACTCAGGTGCCCACATAATATCTGGCAGTGAAAAGCTGCTGGGTTTCTGTCTGTAAGGAAGAGATGGCTGGAAATGTAGGCATTCTCTTAAGAGCCAACACAAAGTTTTGTGTGCAGCCACTCACCTTGGGCTCTAGCAGAGGGAGGGAAGAGTGGACTGGAGTTGTGTGAAGCGAATTAAGGGTGTGGGCTCTGGAGATAGAGTTCAGAGGATACCCCTCTGTATTCCTGTGCTGAGTCATTCCCCCATACTGCAGAGGACATCTTTCTCAGGCAGACATTTGCCTTCCAAGCAGCTTTAGCCTGAGGAGGAAGCAGTTTCCCCACCCTGCTGGAAAAACCTCTTGCTGTACCCCTTGGAGTTTCTATAGCCTGAGGCTCATTAAGAGAACCAGATTAACCAGCCTGTAGGCAGAGGCAGACCTCAGAATGCGTTGAGTCTTTGCCTAATCTGCTTCTGGACCCAGGCCTTGGAAAAGCAGACTTTGGTGTGCATCTTGGTCCTGTCTAAATGCACGTAGTCCTAACAGAGGGGACCTCAAGCCATGGGTTGTTGATAGCTCTGAACAGGGTACTGAAGGCGTCTGGCATTGGCCTGCACCAGAGACCTTCCAAAAAGATTGAGAATCCTAGCAGGCCTACCTAATACATGGAAACAAACCCAAATAGGCAGCCAAAATGGGGAGACCAAAAAACAAGCCCCAAATGAAAGAACAAGAGAAATCTCCAGAAAAAGAGCTAAATGAAATGGAGATAAGCAGTCTATCAGATATAGAGCTCAGAATACTGAATGACATAGCAGAACTAAAGAATACATTGGAAGGGATAAACAGCAGATTAGAGCAAGCTGAGGATCAGATAAGCAAATTAGAAGATAGGGTAGAAAAATATCACTTCATCAGACATCCAAAAAGAAAAAACAAAACAAAAACCAGGACAGTTTAAGGGAGCTGTGGGGACAACATGAAATGTCACAATATTCACATCATAAGAGTGCCTGAAGTAGAAAGTAAACAAGGGTTATAGAACCTGTTTGAAGAAATAATGGCAGAAAACTTCCCTGGTCAAGGAAAAAGGCACACAAGTTCAGGAGGCACAGAGTCCCAAGCAAGAAGAATCCATAGAGGCCAATGCCCAACACACCATAGTTAAAATGCCAAAAATTCAAGACAAAGAGAGAATCTTAAAGACAGCAAGAGAAAAGCAATATTACCTA